CTTGATGCTTCGAATCTTTTCCCGAAACAATCAGAGAAAAGCTTCAAAGATTTAAGAGGCTTCATTTATCTATCCCTAGTCACAGGGACCATGGTCATCCAACATAGGATAAAAAAAAATGGGGAAAAAATTATAAAACAAATGGGGGAAAAAACCCAGTAAAGATGACACTTAACAGAAAAGCAAACCGTTGGCCACAGGCCCACCTTCTTTTCCTAAACATCTGGGTTGCATCCGAAATCGCATACTGTCCTACTATATAGTATACGAAAACAAGTAAGTGACAAAATAATTATGTCCGAATTCACAGTAGGCCTACTCATAAAACAGTATAGGCAAAAAGTACCCGGATGACCTACTACCGGTACTTCAGGCGAGATTCTGAAGTGTGCATTAGATGAACATTTTACTATCCCATGATGAGGCCACAGGAGAGGGTTTATGAATGGAGGTGAAGCGACACAACACAACTGACGCTGGTATAATGACAGCATGGCGGATGTAGCCTACGTCCAGATTACATTTATACTACAAACCAGGGCCGTCGCTAGTGGGGTGAAAGGTGGTGACAATTATAGGGGCCCCTGCTGCCCAGGGGGCCCCACAAAATCCAGCAGTTATACTATTTAGGCGCTTGTAGTATGAATAATTCTAATATTTATATTAGTTGTATGCCTGAGATTTAAATGAAAACCACAAAAACGTGCAATTTGGGTAAATATTTTTCCAAATATCTGCTTCTCTTACCTCCATAAAAATGGTTTAGTCCGACCTAAAGTATGTATTAATTATTCAGTCAGAGTCAGTGACAAACATCAGATGGACCCAATAAAATTGTAAGTCCCACCCCAGCTCGTGAACAGAACCAATCAGAGTTGAGGCGGCAGCCTGAAGTTAACGATGAACTTGGTGGAAGAGCAGGAGACTGACTGACTGAAAAATGTCGGGGAAAAGAAAACAAATCAGGGAACCAGAAATGGCAGGAAAAGACGGAGAGGGAGGCAAGGAGAGTGGTTGTATCCCAGTCGATCAAGACGTTCTTAAAGACCGGTTATATATTGTTATTTCGCTGGGAATTAGAAAACTTCCGTCTACAGTCTGCCGTGTACAGTCATTTTTTATTATCGGTGCGCGCCGCAATCGACCGAATGATTACGTGGTCTAAATTCCTGTCTTTTTACACTATTGTAACTAGAGTTTTAAAAAAATTACACGAGTCACGACGCATTGCATTATGCATCTGACCTGCCGGCTGATGATATTTAAAACATCGAGAAAACACGAAGACAACACTGCACTTGGATGAATAAATGTATTCGCTTTATTTAATAATATTACCAGTTCCATATTATCTTTATTAAAAAATAAGACAATGAATGCTTTTATTTTTTTAATTAGACTGCATTCTTGTCAATTTTTTAAATGTTTACTTTTTGATTTATGAATTATAACAGACTGATGGGGAGAAAAATTGATTACTTTTTAAAAATTGGTTTTATTATTATTTAACAATTTCTTGCTTTTTTATTAGTTGTAATTTTTATATAAACATTTAACTTTTAAAATAAAGGTTTTACAACAACATCACCATCTTCTGTTATGTAGGCCTCCATGTTCATCTATTGTACAGTATATGATATTGGTGGAGGGTGGTGGGGGCCCACATCAATATTTTTTCAGGGGGCCCCGAATCCTCTAGCTACGGTCCTGCTACAAACATTAATATTATGTAAAACATACCTTTTTTAACGCTCGTGAAGTAATTACTTATTTAAAATACGAGAGCATGCGATTTCAGACCCAGCCCTGGACTCTCTTTATAGGGCTCCTCCCCCACATTCAAACAGTCCAATGACAACCATCAGTCAATTACAAATGGGATATTGTAACATTTCCACTTTATTATACAAACATCAGGGTAACGCTTTAGATTACAGCCCGGAAAGTACTGTGTAATTAAGAGGAATTGAGTAACTTTCTGTAATTATAGTGTAGGCTACCTATAAAGTAGCCTACTTGCATGTAAGTATAAGGGAACAATATGTCAAGTTTGGGGAATAAAGAGGTAACAACCAGGAGAATTAAAACATTATTTATGCTGTAAGTATTATAGAACTAAGGGGTACTTATTGTCACAGTGTCTGGTTGTGTTTCCCTGGGTTGTCACTAGAGGTCCTCGTTGTCTTTCACATTTGACTTCATTTCCCAGCATTCTGTCTGTCACTCATCAGTTCATTGCACTCAGCTATTTCCCATCACATTGTTAGATCTGTATATATTCCCTGTCTGTGTCAGTGTTTGTGACGAATAACAACGACTCCGTCACAAACACTGACACAGACAGGGAATATATACAGATCTAACAATGTGATGGGAAACAGCTGAGTGCAATGAACTGATGAGTGACAGACAGAATGCTGGGAAATGAAGTCAAATGTGAAAGACACCGTGAGAACGAGGACCTCTAGTGACAACCCAGGGAAACACAACCAGACACTGTGACACTTATTCTACTATTATGATACAACAATCTTACATTTGGGAGCAATTTAGCGAGAACATACACTGCGTACCTTTTTGTAATAATTGTGTACCAATACGAACTGTATAGGCTTTTTTTTAATTACAGGGTACATATCTGTCCATTTATACTCTTTTTTTTTTATAGCAAAAGTGCAGATGTTTAAGTTTGGGCTTACATGTTTCAAGGCAAGAAAAGCTAAAACTATTGCAATTTTTTAAAATACTGGGAAATATATCTGGTTTAATGTGGTTACAGGTTAAGTGGTTCTTGTATAATAAATAAAGGTTTCCGAGTCAGTGATATAAGATTGTGTGTATGCATTTTTATTTTACTTACTACCCTGTAACTACATGGAACAAGAGGGTAACAAGCACCACTTTAATTTATGGCCCGCAATGTCACACTTACACTGTAACTACATGGAACAAGGGGGTAACAAGCACCACTACATGAACTTTCCCTAATATTTAAGCAAAAGTTGCAATAGTTTTCGTTTTCAGTGCACTTTTGTTAAAAAGATTACTTTATAAATGCATAGATATGTACCCTGTCATTTTTAAAAAGCCTATACAGTTTGTACTGGTTCACCATTATTTCAAAAACATACGCAGTGTATGTTCTTGCTAAATTGCTCCCACATGTAAGATTGTTATATCACAATAGTAGAATAAGTACCCCTTAGTTCTATACTAGTATAAATATTTTTTTAATTCTCCTGATTGTTACCCCTTTATTCCCCAAACTTAAAATATTGTTCCCTTATTCTTATATTGTAAGTACGTTATAGGTACACTATAATTACCGAAGGTTAAATCTGTAAAATTGCTTTAATTACGCAGTACTTTCCGGGCTGTAATCTAAAGCGTTACCAACATCAGTCATAGCATCTTCTTTAACGTCGTGCTGTATTTCAACTACAAAAAAACCCCACAAGCATTTAAAAACACATGCATTCAATGCAAACATTCTCAATTCAACTCCTCCCCCACAGGACGGTTTATATCTAGCTTCCTGTTTGCAGGCCCCTCCTATTAGAAAGCTCAAATGAGAAGGTAGCCTACAACAAAGAAAATCATTATTATTAAACAAAGCATCTTCCATTTCATAATTTTTTTGTTTACAAAAACACAGATACAGCGAATAACAAACATTACTGGAATGTGCACCTACCATGTGACCCCGATCCATGGAAAAACATCAATGAATAAACTTATATTGTACAAAACAGTGTTGTGTAGTTCTTTAAAGGATTGTTTGAGACACAAATCGTTCGATTTATCACACTATAGTTCACAACAGCTCTGCATCACGTCTATTAAACCCATCGCATGAACCTTTGGCCATTGTTGTGGGCCGAAACGATTTCCTCCTTAACAAGTTCATCTGAGAGTGGGGTGTGAACTGTTTCACTGCAACTACACAACATGCACAGAGCTCGAGTCTATTCACAAGCCTCCTCCAGTTGCACAGTACTGTCCGTTTCATTTGATTCTGCTGAAAAGCTTGGATTCCTGTCAGCTTGTTTAAAGAAAAGACAAATCCTGCATTTCTAATACACATACATTAATATGTATATACAACATACTGTATATAATTTCCCCATATATTTTAAATACAAGTACATTTTTCTATGCAAATAATGTAATGTGCTCTCACTGCTGTTAGACATCCAGAGGTTGTACAACAGTAATGAGGCCTATATCCTAAAAACAGATCCAATCATTAATTCAATTGTGCCCATGCAGCATTCTTATTATCATTGACCTCAGATAATGGTTAAGGTTGACGAAATAGGTTTAGGGCTGTTTAACACTCTGTTGTTGGGTCACTCTCAATAGTTGTGATATCATACTTCTCTTTATAATCCTACACTTCAACATCTGCTCTGCTGGAAGAAGTTCAGGCCGATGCAAGTGGATACCATAGTGGCAGATAGTGGTGATAGTGGCGCCACTCTCTCATGTCAGGTTTTTATATGACAGACTTTCAATACAACAGTTTTCTGATATAGCTCCTCCATGTTGGTGTGGCTTAATGGTTACATCTTTGACACAATTAGGCTGAATTGGATTGATAATACAGTTCTGCTGAACATACAGGGTGTATTCAGTGGCCAGTGTGTGTCTTTAAATAGGCCTACACACATTTAACCACAAGTTTTAGAAACCTTAAATGTGTGAAAAATGTGCGGATGTCAAAGTGCAGCAGCACATTAAGAGCACAAGCCCTAAAAGAGATATTTGCATATTTGAAGAAAAGTTGTTCTTGTTATAAATAACAATTATTTGCAAAAAAATGCAAGTGCACACTGACTAGCATGTTAAAGTTCACGTCAGTGGGCAGAATGCTGACAGGTTGAATTGAAAACAAGTGTTGCACATAGTGCAGGAGAGTATCATGTATTTCATCTCTCAGTGCACATGGTTACAATGGTCTCAGTGGTCAGTGGATACTGAGGATCATTTCTGAATAAACAATTATACTAAGCCATGTCTTCTGATTTACTTTCGCAGAAGCTGAAGTGTTGTAACAGTAATAACGGAAATAGTGTCTGTGTGAATCATAGGTCTTACTTAGACATGTGAAGAGCAGGAGATATAGACATCACACACATCGATCGATGAAAGAACCGAAATGTTGAGACCACTTCTTGATTTCACACTAGGTAAACAATTTTCATATTTATACCATCAATTTATTCATTGTAATTGTAACACTTTACAATAAGGTTTCTGTTAGCATTAGTTAATAGCTAACGTGAACTAACCATGAGCAATACATTTGTTACAGTAGGCTAGCCTTGTTAATCTTTGTTAATGTTAGTGAATAAAAATACAACTGTTCATTATTTGTTCATGTTAGTTCGCAGTGCATTAACTAATGTTAACAAATACAACTTTTTATTTTAATAATGTATTAGTAAATGTTGAAATTAACTTTAACAAAGATTAATAAATGCTGTAAAAATGCAGTTCATTATTAGTTCATGTTAACCAATGTAGTTAACTAATGTTAACCTAATGAAACCTTATAGTCTTACCATTATAGTCTTACCATTATGATATTAAATTATATTTGTGCTGTTGAAAATTATTAAATTATCATAGTTAGATGGGTTCCCATTTTGACTTTTCACAATATGTGAACTCTATATCTGGGACATTGGTAGGAGTGTGGACAGACATAAAAAATGTATTTAGGTTACCAAGGAAAATGTAAGATGCCACTAAACCACTTGTTTTATTATTTACATAAAATCGTTGTGATAAATTCTAATAAAACAACTCCCTATGTTTTCTCTTTGACAGCTGTGGTTTTAAATGATTACCTGTTTACTGGTAAGTGATCCTCTCAGCATTGCAAAAGCTTTGATAAACATGACTATTTCTACTCTATTATTGTTAAAGGAATAGTTCACTCGTAGTTATTAAACATGTTGCGAACCTAAATTATTTCGGTAACACTTTACTTGAAGGGGTGTGCATAAGACTGACATGCCACCTTCATAATCCTGACATGACACATGTCATGAATATGAAGGTTTTATGCATGTTTATGACAACTGTCATTAAGTGTCATTCGCTCAATTATGACATTTTTAATGCAAATATGACATTGTTTGAAATGTCTTTTTCATGACAACTGACATTACTAAGACAACACAACCTGTCATAAATATGTAATAAACATGACATAGCAGATTAATTATCAAACTTAAGAAACCACTCAGCTTTATGGGTTAACATTAAACTATCATTGTGGTTGGTTTTGACATTGGTTGTCACGAGGCCATTATAACTGTGTCATGAATATTTTTCTTGACCTCAACTGGAGTGGTACAAATTGAATTTATCATTAAAATGTTATAATGGCCTCATGACAGCCAATGTCAAAACAACCACCTGACGGTTTAATGTAATGTTAACCCATAAAGCTGAGTGGCTTCTTAAGTTTGATAATTAATCTGCTATGTCATGTTTATGACATATGTATGACAGGTTGTGTTGTCTTAGTAATGTCAGTTGTCATGACAAAGACACTGACTGGTTATGATGTATTGGTTTATGTCAAGGTGTCATAACAAAGACATCTCATACAATGTCATATTTGCAATAAAAATGTCATAATTGAGCGAATGACACTTAATGACAGTTGTCATAAACATGCATAAAACCTCCTTCATATTCATGACATGTGTCACATCATGATTATGAAGGTGTCATGTCAGCCTTATGCACACCCCTTCAAGTAAAGTGTTACCCTTCTTAATTTTTCACAATTGCTAGGAGATTTTTATTTTTGTGTTCCACAGTAAGTTATACATGTTTGAAAAGAAATTAGGATTTGTGAATGATGACAGAATATTCATTTTGAATGAACCGTCCCTTTAAAGCAAACAGCAGCAGTTTTATTTGAGGATCACATACAAAAATAAAGATTGTCCTCTATATATTTACACGTGAGTTGAAAATTTCCTTTGATTTTCAGGAGGTCAAGACATCAAACTGGTCAATGGTTTAGACGGCTGCTTTGGGACAGTTGAGGTCTTGAATAATGGCACGTGGGGAACAGTGTGTGATGACTCCTGGGACATTATTGATGCTGCTGTGGTGTGCAGACAGCTGGGATGTGGAAGAGCTATTAGTGCACACGGTCAGGCTCTTTTTGGGGAAGGAAGGGGCCAATTCTGGATGAAATTTGTCAATTGTTTGGGCAACGAGTTATTAATCTCAAATTGCTCTCATGAGAATGGACGTGATTGTGATCACAGTAAAGATGCTGGAGTCGTGTGTTCAGGTAGCAATTATTTGCAAGTATGCTTATAACAGCACTGGGATTTTTCACTGTTTATATCACTCTGCTTGTCTGTGTTTTGCACGTTTCAATTTGTGTGATCGACTTGAACACGAGCTGCAATATTTGCGCCATCACACTAAACTCCCAATCACACATATTATTATTGAAATGTCTGATTTCACAGTCACGTTTTCCGACCAATGATAAATGTGACCGCCACACCTTGATTTATGAGAGAGTTGAATCATTCATTCAACAAAATTGTTCAAAAACACTGATTCGTTCAGCAGAAACGTAATAGTAAGGCGTTAATGTACTAAAATCTCTCTTCCAGCTTCTTCAGTTGTTATCATTGGTGCTGTGGTAACAGCTGTACTGCTCATTTTGTCTGCACTGCTGATTATCTTCCTGGTAAAGAGGAGAAAAAAACAAAAGAAAATCCAAATATGCTCCTGTTCAAAAGGTGAAAGAGATTTACATGATGTCCTTTACCTTTATTTTGGGAGCCTCATGCAAATATTATAATATAATACATTTTTTTTTATGTTCTTTGTATCCCAAGATGCAGTTAATATGCAAGATGTGCTCCATAGAGACCAAAATGAAGAGAATGCTGATGATGACTATGAGATTGTAGATATGGATGATGGAGATCATGAAGATGTCAACTCTGACTCTGAACAAGACTATGTAAATGTAGATCAGGATGACTCTGAACAGGACTATGTCAATGTAGAAACAGACGATTCAGAACAGGACTATGTCAATATTACAGAACAGAGAAGTATGCTGGACAATAACTATGAAGACTTATAAAAGTTACATGTTGAAAGGTATTACTGATTTAAAATTTTACACACAAAAAAGGACACTGGACCCATACTTACTTATTTACACTTCTGAATGACAACAGCACTGAACACCTTACAACATTCCTGATGAAAAATGGAGCCAGAAGTCGCCACACACGAAACAAACACAGTTATCAGTGAATTTATTCATTATATCTTACAAACAATGTCCCAGTATGAATTATTCGTTGTAAATGAAAGGAACAACGACTCAGTGGACATTATTAACAGCTAATATTAAATATTTAAATTGTAACCTCAATATTTAAATACTGCAGACTTGTCTTTATCCATATTTGTTATTTGGTGATTTATTGAGAATTACAAATCTCTGGAATTGTGAGTGCAGATTTGCTATTCCTAGCAAAGCATCTGTTTGTCTGCTTTACTGAAAATGGTGCCTCTAGCAATTTAGCAATTGTGAATGGAGCAAACAAGAAGTCTAAGAAATGTGTTAAAAAATTATATAAAGTTTTTATGACAGCTTCTCATGATGTGTTCTCTTAAGAAGCAACCAATAAGGAACCTCAGAGAGAGAGAGCAATAGCTGTATCCACTTAGTGGACACATTTACCCACTTCCGCTCTGCTGTGTGTCTTCCTTCCTCAATTGTTGCTTGTGTGACAGACACCCGCTAATGAGTTACTGTTACTGTGTGCTGTCTGCCTTCTATCATGATGCCCATGTTAAATAAATAATTCATTTGAATTAAAATACAGTTTAAATTGTCTAATCACTCTGCACAATGACCATTTAGGTTTCCTCTGAAGTTCAGTTTTGAGTTCTATGTATAAGGAAATGCTGAACATGCTGACACCATGTTTCACACTCGCAGACCAAAAGGACACTTCCTCTAATTCCCTTCATAGCTTTATCAGTGTTAACTTGTTTTTCTGAGAACAGAGCTATTCTCTGGATCCTCTGGATTATTTGGATATCCCACTGAATGCTAGAACTCGGAGTACTGCATATCTGACATGGTTTCTCTATTCCCCAGAGCAATTCTCACATGTAGCCTAACAGCATTTTACTTCTTTGCAGAGATCATTTGAAATGCAGTCATGTCATTTCCCTTTTATCTTATATATTGTAAAGAAACATAAACACTAACATTTTGCATAAAACTTTGGCTTTATTAGGCTATTGAAAAACATGCATTTCACCATCATGTAGTTACATTATCTACCAGCAGGGGCTTCATGCCAACCAACCAATTCCTGACCTGACCCTCATGAAATCAGCGAGTCAGACAATCGCCAAATATTACTCACAGTTTTGTGCTCTAATCATAAAAAAGGCATAAAAAATTACATTATCATATATATCTCAAAAGGTGCTTTTATACAGACTGTTTAGGGGATTTTATTCCACAGTTCAGTAGAATAAGACTTATTCAGTGTTAAATAGGCCTATAGTCTTATTCTATACTGAACAGTAGAATTATAACCCTTAAACAGTCTGTATAAAAGCACCTTTTGTGATATACACTCACCGGCCACTTTATTAGGTACACCTGTCCAACTGCTCGTTAACACTTAATTTCTAAGCACCCAATCACATGGCGGCAACTCAGTACATTTAGGCATGTAGACATGGTCAAGACAATCTCCTGCAGTTCAAACCGAGCATCAGTATGGGGAAGAAAGTTGATTTGAGTGACTTTGAACGTGGCATGATTGTTGGTGCCAGAAGGGCTGGTCTGAGTATTTCAGAAACTGCTAATCTACTGGGATTTTCACGCACAACCATCTCTAGGGTTTACAGAGAATGGTCCGAAAAAGAAAAAAGATCCAGTGAGCGGCAGTTCTGTGGGCGGAAATGCCTTGTTGATGCCAGAGGTCAGAGGAGAATGGCCAGACTGGTTCGAGCTGATAGAAGGGCAACAGTGACTGAAATAACCACTCGTTACAACCAAGGTATGCAGCAAAGCATTTGTGAAGCCACAACACGCACAACCTTGAGGCGGATGGGCTACAACAGCAGAAGACTCCACCGGGTACCACTCATCTCCACTACAAATAGGAAAAAGAGGCTACAATTTGCAAGAGCTCACCAAAATTGAACAGTTGAAGACTGGAAAAATGTTGCCTGGTCTGATGAGTCTCGATTTCTGTTGAGACATTCAGATGTTAGAGTCAGAATTTGGCGTAAACAGAATGAGAACATGGAACCATCATGCCTTGTTACCACTGTGCAGGCTGGTGGTGGTGGTGTAATGGTGTGGGGGATGTTTTCCTGGCACACATTAGGCCCCTTAGTGCCAATTGGGCATCGTTTAAATGCCACGGCCTACCTGAGCATTGTTTCTGACCATGTCCATCCCTTTATGGCCACCATGTACCCATCCTCTGATGGCTACTTCCACCATGTCACAAAGCTCTAATCATTTCAAATTGGTTTCTTGAACATGACAATGAGTTCACTGTACTAAAATGGCCTCCACAGTCACCAGATCTCAACCCAATAGAGCATCTTTGGGATGTGGTGGAACGGGAGATTCGCATCATGGATGTGCAGCCGACAAATCTGCGGCAACTGTGTGATGCCATCATGTCAATATGGACCAAACTCCCTGAGGAATGCTTCCAGCACCTTGTTGAATCTATGCCACGAAGAATTGAGGCAGTTCTGAAGGCAAAAGGGGGTCCAACCCGTTACTAGCATGGGGTACCTAATAAAGTGGCCGGTGAGTGTATATGATAATGTAATTTTGTATTGACAGCTATATCAACACAGTTGTGCCCACAAAAATGTTATCAGTTAAAAAAACACTCAAACATGATAAAACAATATGTGGTGTAATTTGCTTATACAATCTTCAGTTCAGTGAAAAACAGATGGACAGATCTTAACAGAGATTGATGAGGCACTGTAACTCATAACAATAATAATAACTTGAGATCTCATGAGCCAGGAAGTTACTTCTTAAATTCATAATGCTTTGGCATCCTTGTCATTGTTATTTTTCACAGCTTTAAAGCCAGATAATAATCTGATTAACAGCTTAATAGTGAGTTATGAATGAGTTCAAGGTAATTTTAGGGGGGGGGGAAAAAGATACTGCTCAGCTTGTCATGGCATTGTGAATATCTGTTTGGAATGCAATTCTTGTCTTAAAAGAAAAAATGGTGAATAGACATTTTCGGAAAAGGCTGGGTTAAAAAAAAGGAATCTTAATGCCCTTTTTTTATGGTTAAAAGGAGAAGTGACTACAGTTTTGGTTTTGTTTGTCTTGAAAGAAGCAGAGATATACATACACATCTTACGTGCTTTTTGAAACAACACAAGGATGCCAAGACCTTCTCTTCTCACTTTGATATTGGGTAAATTCAATTTTCAGTCTTTGCATTTCTCATTTTTTATTACAGATGGAGATTGCAATTTCATGATGGAACATTCATGTATGTAACAATATTAATATACAAATATTATTCAAAAGTATTAAAAGTAGTATTCAAATTAAACAGTTTAGTTCAAGTTTAGTTCAAGTTTATTAACTTTGTAAGATGTTGTATCTTTCCTACACATTTGAATGAAGTGTTTGTCAGTGCCTTTACCACTGTTCTTTCTGAAACTGAACTAAAACTAGTGGCTTATGCGCTTTAAAAATAAAACAAAGATTATTGGAGTACGTTTTACAAGAAAAAACTATTTCAGTCTTTGTACTTTAAAGGTCCCATGACATGAAATTTTCACTTTCTGAGGTTTTTTAACATTAATATGAGTTCCCCTATATATGATCCCCCAGTGGCTAGAAATTTAAATCGGTGTAAACCGAGCTTTGGCTATCTTTCTCTGCCTTTGAGAAAATGAAAGCTCAGACGGGCTGATCTTGAATCTCCTCCGTTGACGTCATACGGAGGAAAGGTAACCTCCCCTTTCTCTGCTTTGCCCGCCCAGAGAATTTGGCTCGCCCAGGAGAAAATGAGCTAGGAAGTATGAACGCGCGAGCGCTGTTTGAGTTTTTCCTCGAGAGATATCATGGCTTGCAAACGAGCATAGCATGGCAGTTGATCAGTGTTCGGATGTACAAATGAACACAAACGTATTTTTTAGTTCCTTCATCCGAGCCTCTGAAGAAACAATGGGTTAATTTTATTTTCTCTGGAAATGCGCCTACACAACTTCCCAAAGTCAAAGTTTTGTATGGTCCAAACATTTCACCGACGACTGTTTCCTCAACTTGGGCCAATACAGAGCTGGCCTCGATGAACGTCTGAAAATAAATCGAGCATCAAGCAACAATTTCTGATGTGTAGCCTAATTGTTCAAGTTCAGACAGGTAAGTTAATCTTTCTCTCAAAATCGTTCAATACTGTTTATGCATCAATAAGTCAAGCCAGTGACTAAAATTTCAACATCACATTGTTTCTTTTAGTAGGATGAAAATAATCTTATTTAAATTGTGATCAAATTATACAGAAAGCGATCAAAGAACAATCTTTCCACCAGGGACGTGCACAGGAATTTTGTGGGGCAGTTGCTCTGACCTGAAAAAAGGGCACTACCCCCAAAACTCACGGGCTATATGAAGGAATATATTCAGTTGAATTTTGCCCATACAAATTGCCTTATCTGATCGTGTTTATTTCCAAACGCAATGCCTCATATTATGGTCTTATTATTATTTATAAAGATTGCAAACGTCAAAGATGACAGGTTTATGATATACAACTTTGTAAACAGTATACAAAATGTATTAACAATATGTTAAATGTCACCAAAATACACATGAGAAAAAGAGTTCCTCATATTATTGTTTATTGTTTTTTAATTATTATTAATTTTTTTTATTTTTTATTTTTATAAATAATCTGGATTGAATTGACAGATGGGGAAAAACTCGCTTCTAATAAAATAAAATAAAACGCTTAGATTTCGGAAAAAATACAATCCTTTTTTAACCTTTTGGCTTCCCGTACATTCAATTGTGCTTTTTGCTCATCTGGGCAACTACGCATGATTTGTAGTATGATTGCGTAAAGGGAACAGGAATTCCGGTAAGGAACAGAATCGACTGCTACACCCAGTGCCGATCCTGACCTCCCTGGGGCCCTAAGCAAAATTCTGCTAAGGGGCCCTCTGATGTCGTGAGCTATGTAAACCATTTGCCATTGCCACAGTCACACCTGACACTTCAGCACTCCCATCCTCCCCCCTTTAAACAAAACAGTCAAATAATAAGTACAACAATATAGAACAGAATGAGGTTCAAACACACAATATTTATTGAATAGAGTATTTTCTATAGAATGTTAAGATAATAAGTGAATATTATTAAGTAAGTGAATATTAACGTAAACATAAATAAGAAGAAAATAATAAATAATAACCCTGAGCTTTGGCTTTTGGGATTAACTTTGGTTCTTTCTACAGCCTGGGCATTTTCGGCATCAGTATGATTTTTTTTTTTTTTTTTTTTTTTTTATGCATGTTGAAGCAATTCTTGATTTATGGTTATTATTTACTGAGGGATGTGCATCCATTTTGACCAGTATGTCCAGCTAATCAACATTTTTAATTCAATATAGCCTATAAATCAATAGTCAATCAATGTCAAATTGTCAATACATTGCTTTCTATCTTGCATAATTAGTGCAGTTGTTTAGAGTTTGTAACTACACTGAGACTTGATAATCAGTGTCTTGTTTTAAAAGTATAATGTGTACTTTGATTGGGAGTGGCATCATTCACGTGCATGTATTGTACAGTATGTCTGGTCTCCACATATTTCTGCTTGAAAAATGCGAGTTTCATTTCGTGCACGCGCATTTGAACGCACGATAACACACGCGACGCGGTTATGTTTTCCGAGCTGCAGTAAAAAACACCGTTGCACTTTGTCGTTTATCAAAATCAAACGTAATAAATAATTGTATTTTACTCTCACTTTTGTCAGCCACAAAGTGATGCAAGAGATGCACTGCCTGCCCAGCTAGGTTAGCAAGACCGAAAAACATCAAACTTTGCTGACATCAAACTTAGAGAGGAGAGAACACAAGTTTACCTGATTGTTGTTCCCGCAATTCACTCTCATGGTTTTTTTCTTCTTCCTCTTTTCGTGACCAGAAGGATAGTTTCGCTTCATTTTGTCGTAGATGTTGTAGCTACACATTTGACGGCGCGCTATGACTATGACACGAGATGGAGGCGTGGCCTTAAGTAATTTGCGTGGCCCTACGCCGGTCGCGTGCAGTCTATGGTCGCGTGCAGCGTTTGCCCTTCATACTGACTTTCACTTTCGGTGCCCGAATGGAAGTGAATGAGGCTTTGCGATTTTTTTTTTTTTTTAAATCTAGGCCTACGTGAAATTCTGCATCCATTGTACGATTTAATTTTTTTCTCGGAAGGGCAACTTGAGTGAGAAGGGCAACTTGAGTGAGAAGGGCATATGAGCAGTTGCCCGGGCAACCTGAGCAACCCCCCTGTGCACGTCCCTGCTTTCCACACAGCGCGAGTTTATGGACAACTATAATGACGCATGTTACATTGCACAACGAAGCTCTTACTGTACATCATCGTGTTTGCATTGGTGAAAGCATTAGAGAGAGTGCAGAAACTGCGTTGCAATGATAAGATCTTCATTCTCGCGATCAACACACTGTCATCTGCTTGCTCAATGCTCATCACGGCAACATTTTATGTGATGGGAATAGATCTAAATACTTAAAAAACTTCTCACGATTCGTTAATCTCGATAGCTGTAATAGTAAAAAGGTATAATAGCTGTAGTAAAAGTATTCGAGAGAGTTTCACATGTAATACGTAGCTATTTCATATGCAAGCATGTCAGCCAATCACAGCAGTGGCCGCGGTTACACTGAATCCCACAGGGACACGCCCCTTCAAACACAGCGTTCAAATCAGAAGCTAAAATCAGGCTAGGAAAAATGCCTTTTATTTCTAAAGTATGACTATTTTTGATCTAAAAAACATAATATAAGGGCAACCCAGGAAACATAAAATAATAAAATAAGCCCATGCATGGGACCTTTAAATTTTCATGTTTGATTTAACTTGCTGTTTCTTTGTAATTATTTTTTTTGATTACATTTGATTGATTGATTGATTTTAAAATTCACCATCACTGACTGCTCATGAAAATAACCTGTTCAATGACCTAAAATGATATAACGGGACTCAGACAGAAATATATATTTCTTTCATTTGTATGTGAATGTAATCATTATTTTAACACAGCAGAGCTTTTTTTAAGGATCCCTTAAAGGGATACTCCACTTTTTTTGGAAATAGGCTCATTTTACAACTCCCCCAGAGTTAAACTGTTGAGTTTTACCGTTTTTGAATCCATTCAGCCGATCTCCGGTTCTGGCGGTACCACTTTTAGCATAGCTTAGCATACATCATTGAAGTGGACAAGACCATTAGCATTTCTAAAAGAAAATGACCAAAGAGTTTCGATATTTTTCCTATTTAAAACTTGACTCTTCTGTAGTTACATCGAGCACTAAGACCGACGGAAAATGTAAAGTTGCGATTCTCTAGGCTGATATGGCTAGGAACTATACTCTCATTCCTGCGTAATAATCAAGAAACTTCACTGCCGTACCATGAGTGCAGCAGGCGTAATGATATGACGCAGCGCCTGAAAATAGTTCCGTTGTGTTGCCGGAAGGTGGCCTATTTTCAGGCGCTGCGTCATATCATTACGCCTGCTGCACTCATGGTACGGCAGTGAAGTTTCTTGATTATTACGCAGGAATGAGAGTATAGTTCCTAACCATATCAGCCTAGAAAATCGCAACTTTACATTTTCCGTCGGTCTTAGTGCTCGATGTAACTACAGAAGAGTCAAGTTTTAAATAGGAAAAATATCGAAACTCTTTGGTCATTTTCTTTTAGAAATGCTAATGGTCTTGTCCACTTCAATGATGTATGCTAAGCTATGCTAAAAGTGGTACCGCCAGAACCGGAGATCGGCTGAATGGATTCAAAAACGGTAAAACTAAACAGTTTAACTCTGGGGGAGTTGTAAAATGAGCCTATTTCCAAAAAAAGTGGAGTATCCCTTTAAAGGGGGGGTGAAATGCTGTTTCATGCATAGTGAGTTTTTTACACTGTTAAAGAGTTGGATTCCCATGCTAAACATGGACAAATTTGAAGTTGTAAGTTTGATGGAGTAATTCTGTTCCAAAAATACTCCTTCCGGGTTGTCACAAGTTTCGGAAAGTTTTTTTCGAATACGGGCGTGTGTGACGTCAGAGTGGCCGGAATTTCCTTATACGGGTCTTAAGGGCACTTCTCCCGGAAGGGCGCGCGCGCATCTGTAGCCTAGTGCGTGCGAGAGTACGCATATGCCCATCAGAGCGCTGGGCTCGGCTGGGCTGCAAATAAAAAATGGCACCAAAAAAGTGTGTTTTTGGTTGCCAGGGCAAGACAACACTGCACAAATTTCCAAAGAACCCAGCGTTAAGGGACCTGTGGATGGATTTTGTTTTTCCAGAGCAGCAACGGAGTTGTGCAAGTGTTTTTGTTTGTTCCCTTCATTTCGACGGTAATAGTTTTATAAACAAGGCCCAGTTCAACGCCGGATTTGCAGATCGCCTAATACTTCTTGAGTGGAGAAGTCTCAAATCTCATCTTTAGATGGAGCAGTCCCAACGATAAAGGTTCACGGTCGTGCGTTGGAACCGCAGGCGGTGAGTAAAACTGCTTCAAATCTCTGTGAGTTGTTAACTATCGGCGTGTAAGCACAGCAAGTAAACAACATGATCACATACAGTTAATGTATCTATGGAGCATGCGATGTATGGTGTGTGTGTGTGTTTAAATACATTTGTTTAGCTGGCCACTGTAGGTGTCAGTTTGTTTATTGTAAAAATAAATCATGTCCTCATAAACCACGAGTCTGTCTGTTTACAACACACAAATGTTGTAAAACTCGCGCATGACATGGTGTTCTAAAAACACTGCGCTCAAGTTCAAATCATTTCTATTTTTAAAAAACGCTCGAGACCTTATGTTTTTCATCCATTTCACTGCCCATCTCACGTTTTTGTGAGCAAAAACGCGTTCTGTATGAACGAGCCCTTAGTATTGTTTAGATCCTTGTTCTGCATCGGATTACTATCTGATTATTAGCCATGGTTTATTTTCGGATGTCACTCACAGCTTCCAGACGCTCTCAACGCAAAAGCTTCGCGCGCTCGTGTCGTGATTATTTAGCTCCGCCCACACGGCACGCCTCCACCCGCTCGGGTTTTTCCGGAAAGACTCGGTACAGCCTATCTTTCTTTTATAAATATAATAAAACTAAAGACTTTTTGGAGATATGAAGGATGCAATACTACTCTATAGGTACTCAAGATGAACATGAGATTGAGTGAAACTGAGTGTTTCACCCCCCCTTTAAGGGATCATTAAGAGGAAGAACTACATCTGGCCACAGAGTCATAATGGCCCTTTCCTGCCAGTCACAGCAGTTCTGCTATGGCACATATGAAACTAATTCAGTGTTTACTGTATATTTACATAGACAACATTCTAATTTATCAGTTGATATGCAACAAATATTTTTTTTTATTTAGATATGTTTTATTTAAATTATGATCTATCATTATAGGGGTGAATTCAAGTTAATTGGGACACTTAGCAATTGAGATGACTGGGAAAAGGTGTCCTAATTAACCTAAATCTGCCTATCAAGCATACAATTTTGTTGTAAGTCTACAATGTTTTTAAATGTTGCTGTTTTTTTTATCTCAACAGCCAGTGCTCTGATTTCTGTAGCTGGTAAGTAATAGACTGATAGAATAGAATTTTTTTAAATTCAGATCTCAGTTACATCACTTGAGACATGACTGTTCTGGCTAGTCTTCAAGTCTAGCATGTTTAAAGATGTTTGTATCATAATGGATTTTTTTAGGTGGATTTAGTATCAGGCTTATGAATGGTAGTAATGACTGCTCTGGAAGAGTTGAGATCCTTCATGATGGCCGGTGGGGAACAGTGTGCGATGATTCCTGGGACATTGAAGATGCTACTGTGGTGTGCAGACAGTTGGGATGTGGAGAAGCTGTTCGTGCAAACTCCGAGGCTTATTTTGGCCGGGAAAGTGATCCGATCTGGTTGGATGATGTGAAATGTTCAGGAAGTGAATCATTCCTCACACAGTGTTCACACAATCCTATTGGAGAACACAACTGCGGTCATCATGAAGATGCAGGTGTCGTCTGCTTACTGGGTAAAACTATATATGTTTTCTCCAGATCTAAAATGGCATTGTATATGCTATTTTGCTTGTCATGAAAAAAGTACCAAAGTGATTAAAAACAGCATAAGCTTATAGTGTTTGGCCCCAAATAATAATTGTATAAAAAAATGAGAGAAAGCAAAGAGGCTATGCACGTTTGGTGCTTGGCTCATAACAATTTCAAATGCATACAGTATATAACTACTTACAACATAGTTTTTAATCACATTGTCTTACATTTTTAAGACAAGCTACCAGACATAAGATTGGTCAGTGGGTCTGATTCATGCTGTGGAAGAGTGGAGATCCAGTATAATGGCCAGTGGGGAACCGTGTGTGATGATGACTGGGACATGAACGATGCTGCTGTGGTGTGCAGACAGTTACAGTGTGGCTCAGCCATCAGTGCACCTCAAAGTGCCGCCTTTGGTCAAGGACAAGGATCGATCTGGCTGGATGATGTTGGATGTTCGGGAGGGGAAGGAAACCTCATAAACTGTTCACACAGAGGACTAGGAAATAACGACTGTAATCATGCTAAAGATGCTGGTGTTGTTTGTTCAAGAGGTAAGTCAAATCTTTTCCATTGTCAGCTTTGCCCAAACTTGAGATGGCATTCAGACTATGAAGGACGCATGAGGACAACTCATTGAGCTTTACTGTTTTTTTTTATTATTTACTTCTGTTTGCAGAGGTATTGGCAGAAGCATAGTAGAAGCAGTAGTTGCAGTAGCTTCAGGCTGGAAGCTTACGCTGCTATTTTGAACCAATAATCGGAACAAAAGGCAGTTGAAGGATGACGTGTATAATTCAAATATTTATCTGACTCCAATATAATTAATCTGACTCCATTAAAGTTGTTGTTATTCTTTAACCTCTTATTCTTTAAAGGTAAAGGTCTTTCTTAGAACTGATAGGAAAACGTAGGATTTAACCTGAACGTTAAGATAACAAAAGTTATGATCACTTTAGCTTTCGACATTATCAGTGATAAAAGGAAAGATTCTCAAAGCCTTTAAAGCAGTCACAGTTATTTATTAAGTTACATGTTTAAATATACAGACAGTAGAATGGAACAACACAGTATAGAAAACTTAGTTGTAACAAATAATGTACGGTTGTGCAAACGAGGCCGTAAAAGCCTTTCTCAGAGTATGAGGTTACGCACCGGTGTGCGGGAGTGGCGGGGTTAAAGCCTTTCTCCCAGATCAACAGTTACCTTTCCTTCTTATACCCTGAGCAAAGCATTGTTAAACATGAGTGGAATACCAACACCGAAACAAACCTACAGGAAACTAAAAGATGAGGCAAATGGGTGGTGATTAAGAGGGGGAGAAGAACATTAACATATTCTCCTCAATGCATGTTTAACCAATAGTACCTAGATTGTACATTAGGATACTTAATATGTCTATTAAGTTCACCACCATTAATTTCAGTGTATAAACTGTCAGATGAGACCAAACATGACATAATTACATATTAGAACACACTAGTAAATAAACAGTATGTAGTTGAAATCATATGTCATGTAAAGCAAATGGTGCAGACGTGTCATTGAGGTGCAAATGACTCTGTCTCTCCCGACAGAACCGTCCTGTGCCTGGAGTGTCCCAAAAGTCCTTAATCCGCATATTGATGAAATCCCTTGCACTAGATAGGCATTAACATACTGTGATGATGAAGGCAATTGTGCCACGTTTAATTCACATGTACCTTTAAAAGGCTTTTTGAAGTACTAGGGCAGTAAAGAGTTCTGCCCATATTTGCTCAGCCCTACAGATAATCTTTAAAAGATAGATTGAAACAAAACAAATATACATTAATATAAATAAAGATATTATTTAAACTAACATTTAACATCTCATTCACCGTCACCATATAACTAGAGTATAATCAACTAAATCAAATGCCTTGACAATAAATTATAAATGTTAACAAACTTAAAACACACCTTTCAAACTCAAATAATTGGTCAACACAAATCATACAAAGCTTAGCATCAATCAGTACTATAAAAAAATTCCATCAAATAAGCTGAAAGACAATACTGGCATTTTACAACTTCAAAGTTAATATTTTACATCAACATAATTTAAGTTAATGTTCAAACCAGTTGCGTCTTCAAGTTTGAATTTGAGCTAAATGTGTGAAAGTCAGTCCTTGAGATCTTCTCCAAACTTTTTCACCTGCATGTGCTCTATATTGTTCCCCCCTGGAAACACAACTTATCAGGTTCCAGCTCAGCCACCACACTGCACTGCCCTCTTCAGGAATTTCTTTACATGGAGGAACTTGAAGTGAATACTCATTTTTTTCTTGACGAAACATGCATCTTGACTTATTTTTATGGGAGAAATGAGCAATAGAAATCACATTAAGCGTAATGTGTTTCATCACATCTTAACAAGTCATTTTAAATGGATGTATATTTCTTTTACAGGTGACCTGGAGAAGCCCACTCTTTCCCTGATCACTACACATGCAGATGTTTCTCCTGGAGAAAACATTCAGTTCAGATGCACAACACCTAAATCAAGATGCAATGCTGATGCTGAATTCCACCTCTTCATAAATGGATCATCTGTGTCCTCCGAGAAACACGTATCTAGTGCGACTTTCAACCTTGTTGACGTAGGCGTCTCACATCAGGGCATCTACAGCTGTAATTACTCCTACCAAAACACCATTATAAAGTCGCCTTGGAGTAACACTGTTCAAATCACTGTAGGTGAGTATTTAATCTTGTCACATTGCCTACATTATACAGTAAATGCATGAAAGTGAATTAATTCTGTGTTGATGTCTTATTTTTGAGTTTGTGCTGCTGATCTTCCTGAGAAGATGCAGTTGTTGTTGAAGCCATTTTTATTTAAATCCATTTGAATTTAATGCTTGAGGCTCTGTAACCATATAACTGTATTCTTTTTGTTTTCTAGTGCACTTGCAGCAGCCCAGCTTGCCCCGCATTGCTCCTGATGGGCGGTTTGACGTGGCGCCTCGGGGGCCACTGATCACCTGGGGCCACAGTTTCACCATCATCTGTTCCACTGAATCTCAGTATCCTGGAGGCTTCTTCTACCTGTTTAGGGACTCAAATATCACCAACTTTCAGTCAGCTGTCAATCTCTCTGCCTCCTTCTCCTTTCCTGAGGCAGATTATTCCCATGAAGGAAACTACAGCTGTGTTTATGAAGTCAGTTTGTCCTCACGCACCTTCCGTTCGTCTGCCTCTGAACTGCTGGTCATCACTATCAAAGGTATTAATGTGTAAGAGCCTAAAAACAATCTGGACTGCTGGTACTGAAAGTTTAACTCTAAACTGTGTGTCTGTCTCAGCCTCCCTGCTTCCTGTCATCGGTGCTGCGGTGTCAGCTGTGCTGCTCTTACTGTCTGTCCTCGTAATCATCCTCCTGGTCAAGAGGAGACAAAAGCAAAGGAAAAAGGAAGCTCATTTTAAGTGCTCTTTTAAAAGAGGTAACATTTCATAAAAACATCTGGCTGTTTCCATTGACACTGCTTTTATATCAATTAATTTAATAATGATGTCTCTTCATCTCTATGCAATGTCTCTAGGTCCAGTTAATATGTATGCAGGTACATCCTATGACAAAAAAAATGATGATGATGATGATGATGATGAGAATGATTATGAAAATGTTCAACTTAATGATAAAAACATGGATCATGATGACTCTGAAGAGGACTATGTCAATGTGGACATGGATGACTCTGAAGAGGACTATGTCAATGTGGTCACGGATGACTCTGATGAGGACTATGTCACTATGAATGTTACAGAGAATAAAAGTGTGGTAGACAAATCTAATGATAACATTTATGAAATCTATGAATAGTATTTCTGAGTGAACCTAAAATTCTATAATTAATGAGGCTCCAAACAGATGAAATATGGCAGCCAAGTCCAGTTGACAGTAAATGATATAAACAGAGACTAAACAAATCTTTGCTTGTTTGTTTGGTCCCACTGACTTTTACTAGTGAAGATTGTTTTCAGATAATACAATAAAAAGATACACTATTTTATGATACATATGAGTAATGAGTCGAATGTAAAAAAAAAAAAAAGAACAAACTCAACAGGGTGTTGTAGTGGGAGTAGGAGTTTAAGTGCTCTTTCATTTTCAATTTTGTTTCCAGTCCCCTCCCCCCTCTACTCTATATTATTTGTCAGAGCTAAATAGTGTAATATGTTCAATTAGGACCTTGAGCGCACTACAAAATAGTTCATGAAGTTGCAATTTTAAATTTTGCTGTGTGTCTTGCATGTTGTAAATTAAATTAATGAACATGGTTATGGCTTTCTTTGAAGCCTTTCAAAAAAATAAAATAATTTTAATTTGTTCTTCTTTTTTTATTCCCTTAAATCTTTGAACAAATTATTGCTTTAACAAAAAAGGACAATTACACAAAAAGAGAAGTTTAGTAATAATATAATAATAAATTGTTTTATATATATATATATATATATATATATATATATATGGGAAATTATACTAAATGAAGAGAGTACTTTTTGTATTATTTTTACTAGTCTATACTTTATTATACGACTCTCTGAAATACTCTCTTGATGAACCTGTCAGTGTTGATAAATTCACTATACATCACTATTACATTACATTGCAAAGAAAGAAAGAAAGAAAGAAAAGCGGAAGTTGTAACCGAGTCCAACCAGTCCGACCAAAGGTTCGACCGCGACAGACCGCCTGTGATTGGTTAACATTTTAGCGACCTATGATTGGTTAACATTGTAGTCGCCTGTGATTGGTTAACATTTTAGTGCCCCAGTGATAGGTTAACTGTTGTGTTTGCTGACTGACTAGTCACTCAGGTCTGCTCTTGCTGTCGTTAGTTTGAAGTTAAAACTCTCCTCAATTTCACACAAATTCGCTCCGCAGAATCAACGATGGCAAGTCAAGTCAAGAGCGATGAATCCGGTAAGGTTTATCTGGATAAAAAAAATAACTTCAATATGTGTAACTTACACAGTGAATTTTGTTTATGAGAAGGTTCCATTTCCTTATTCCAACACCTGAAGTAGGTAGTATTGTCTAAACATGAAACACAAGATTTCACGATCATACACATAACATGTGATTTTCAACCGGACTACTATCGCTGAATAGCCACCCTGAATTCATACTTATACCGTTTAAGCCCCAGTGCTTACAAATGTTTCTTTGTTGTTGTTGTTGTTAGGAGCTGTGGAGAAGGACAGCGCTTCAGCAGGACTCACAGGTAGAACTGAATCTAGTTTATAACTCGTATATGATACGAGTAGCAGAATGTGCAAAAAAGAAAGAACTGGAAAGAATAAATATTGCATTTGCTTATGTTAACTCTGCTATGCTTGAAAACCTGTTTGTAGCCATTGAAATCTAGCCTGACCAGGTGCTTAATACACAATACAGGAGGCATGACCTCAGTGTATGTTCACTGAACTTTAGATCTTCATTCTACAATACAACCATTAGAAAGAATATAAACCTTTAGTCCAATATCTTTGTCTGTGTGGTTTAAATCTTCGTGGCATGAATAGCCTACATCCTCTGAAAATTTTCATATGCTTGCTTTGCAAACCAAATAAAATAAAAAAATTGATTTTGATTTTTGTCTTTTATTTCAGTCAGAGAGAACATAACAGAGCCTGATGCCTTTAATCAAAGGTAACACCTTAATAAAGATACTTTGTAACCATGTAGAAATTGTACAGTTGAAGCAACTCGTATTTATTTATTTTTGTCATTTTAAATGTATATCATTTGTCAGTGTATATAGTCTGGATCCTAACGAGGCGTATAAGATGAATCACAAGAAGCGAGGAATGGCTCTGATCTTTAACCAGGAACGTTTCTACTGGCAGCTCATGTTGCCTAACCGTTCTGGCACAGAAGCAGACAGGCAGAACCTTGTTAGAAGGTATTTGGCAAAACAAGATATGTTGATTGATGAAGAAAGTCATTTTCTTGTCTTGGATTAAAGTAACAGAACAATGATTAACATTCTTAGTCCATTTTCTTTCATATCTGTCAGATTTCAAGAGCTGGATTTTGAAGTGAAGGCTTATAATGATTATAAACGGGATGAAGTTTTAGACAAAATCAAAGAAGGTACCATAATATTTTCTCTTTCAAACATGTTTTGAGAAATGCGAGTCAAACTTAAATATTCCAGGTTCAATACAGAGGTTAATCAGCAGCATCTTTGGCATTCCGTTGATTACAGATGGTTGACAATTTTTACACTTTACTACTTAAATTCACTTTTTAAATATATATTTATAATTATTTTAAAATATTTATAATGAATTTTATTGTAGTAGTATAATCTAATTTAGTTACAAATGTGCAAAAATAAAACGATTTTTAAATATCAGTTCTCCATACCAGTAGTCAGACACACAAACATTTTTACTGACTAGTTGCTATAATCGCTCAACCTGATGTAAGTTCATCAAATTTCTTTTTATAACCCGGGCCGAGGGAAAGTCAAAAGGTTTTTCTGTGAAAATCGGCAGTATGTCACAGCATGCTCCGAATGGAGTTTAGGTTCTATTTATTTTCCTTTGATTTCAGCTGCTGCTGCTAACCATGTGGATGCAGACTGTTTCGTTTGCGTCTTTTTAAGTCATGGGGAAAACGGCCACATCTATGCTAATGATGGGAAGATTGAAGTTCAAGAAATCACTGATTTGTTCAAGGGGGATATGTGCCATAGCCTTGTAGGGAAACCCAAGATTTTCATCTTGCAGGTAATTTAGCCTTTATTCACAAAATGTATTTTGCAATGTATAAATACAGTAATAATGCAGTATTAATCCAGATCTAATGTAAACTTCTTTAAACACAAGGCTTGTCGTGGTGACAAGCATGATGATCCTGTGACACCAATGGATGTGGTGGACAGTCAAGCGGTCAATAGTGTGGTGGTAGATGCGGGGGTGCTCTACACCCTTCCAGCAGGAGCAGACTTCCTTATGTGCTACTCAGTGGCTGAGGGTCAGTGTGAAGATTTGCTAAATGTGTTCTTTTATGTACTTATGGCTTTGATGCAATTTACATCCTTGATTTCACAGCAGTGACACTTTAAACAGTCATTGACATTGTTTCCTTCTTCTTTTACAGGATATTACTCTCACCGTGAGACTGTAAATGGCTCGTGGTACATCCAGGATCTGTGTGAAATCCTGAGGCGTTATGGTTCCACACTGGAGTTCACTGAGATCCTGACGCTTGTCAACAGGAAAGTTTCCTTGCGCAGTGTTGAAAACTGCAAAGATCGCTTGGCTATAGGCAAAAAACAGGTGCCTTGTTTCGCGTCCATGCTCACTAAGAAGCTGTTTTTCAGGCCTAAGAAGGAGTATTAGTGTTTGGGGCTACTGCAGGTACAAAATCAGGGATTACATTATTTTAATTGGCTTTATTTTGTGCTCCTATATACATCATTTTCAAAATGGGAATTTAAGCAGGTTTGCATATTTTAGCCTTGATGTTTGACAGTTGGTCTTACAAAGTGGAAATAACAGCTTTTAGGTTTAGTTTTCTTGTAGCTTTTTTTGAATTGCCTGCAGGCTTTGGTAAGGCCATTCCCAGTTATTTGTGGTAAAAAAGCTCTGTGCTCTCGCAAAAATAATATATATTAGAGGAAACCTATGAAAAATTTAATGTTTTACACATATTTATATCAAACCTGTTCACTACATTTAATCATGATCTGTCATTAATAGAACATTCAACTACAACATGATAATCTCTTCCATCTGTTATTTTAGTCTGAAAGGGGAACAAAACAAGACACTCCAGTTATACAGCTAAAAAAAAACTTGAAAATCATCTTAGAACACATTCCTACTTACCAACCAGCTTTGCGATTAAAAAATACTTTAACAATTATGGGATAATGGATTTAAATGGGGGATTATGTTTTGTTGTTAACACTGTTGTCTTAAATGTTGAAAAGAGTGACTTTTAGAGGTCCGGCCACAAACATACACTACACTATTTTATGTGTCTGTCTTATAACATGTTGCCGTTTGGTGTTGAGTTTTGTCACATGTGGTACTTGTTTCGTAAAGAATTAAAGCAAAATATATAAGAGGAGCAATTCTAGTAGGATCCTCACACCGTTGCTGCTCCTGTCATGATGACATGAACTGAATATCTTTATTCATTCTTTGCTCAGTTCTGTAAACATGGGATGGAATTTATACTTTTAATGTCTGAACAAGCTTTTCATTGTGAATCATGTCCTCTTTGTAAAGACATTTCTTTGGTATGAGGTCTTCAATTTCCTAGTAATGTGACTGTTTTCTGAGCTGATGACACATTTGTGGGACATTGGGTGTTCTGCAACATAATGTATAATAATTGAGTATGTGAGCAATCTTAACTGCATATGATTCTTTTGCTAGATGTTCAGGTGCAGGTTTTCCCCAACTGTTGAATTGAACATTGTTTTAAGCATTTGCTTGAAACAGGGATTGGGACTTAGAATGTTTTCCAGTAATTAATGAATTATTTTTTTCAAGAAATGATTTAAGATCACAGGGGATACATAATGTGCTGTATATTCTAATAGGGGTTCAACTGTTAAAAAATGTAGGAACTCGAGTCTTACTAAATTTTTATTCTTTGCCAATTATCATTGTCTTGATAATGTTGTGGAATTTAAATAGATTTTTTTTACCGTATCTTTGTCCGCATGCACTTCTATTAAAATAAATGGGAATATAGAATTAAATGGGGATTATAGTTTATTTCTTTACTCTGTGATTCTTACATGCTTTGGCTGAAATGTTGAAAAGATTGACTTTTAGAGATCCTGCTACAAAGATACACTACACTTCTTTAATGTATCAAATATTTTGGTTACAGTCTTTTGGCCTGTTGCCTTATTGTCTTGAGTTTTGCTGCATGTGGCACTTGTTTCATAAATAATAAAAGTAATTATATTATGAGACTGTTGAAATCTTGATTCTGATTGGATGACGAGCGTTCTAAGGTGTGCAATTATTTTCAAGCACAGCTAAAGTGGTTTCATGTATGTCTTGACTGCATTACAGTTCCAAACCACTACGCCAAATGATTTCAGTTTTTTCAAAGCGCATGTTTACTTACAAAAATAATGGAAAAGTAGTGTAGAGGAATCAAAAAAGTGTTCTGTGTGAATAGCCCCTGGGTCTCTGTTATTAAAATGACATTTTGAAATTGGCAACAGTCTTGGGATGAGATGCATATGAATGTAGTACTACAAACAATAGTGTTTTAAGGTCAAAAATCTGACAAATGTCTTGAAATAAAACAATGTCTTGATGTTTGTTAAGCATAGTATAAGCATAATAATTGACTCCGGCTGTTACACCTCAGGTGTGCATCATTTTTAAAATGCGAATTTAAGCAGGTTTGCATATCTTAGCCTTGAGGTTTGACAGTTGGTCGTACAAAGTGCAAATAGTAGCTTTTAGTTTTAGTTTCATTTTTAACTTATTAGTACCAGAATCTATCAGTAGCAATGCAAAGCTTTTTTTGAATTGCCTGCAGGCTTTGGTGAGGCCATTCCCAGTTATTTGTGGTAAAAAAGCTGTGCTCTCGCAAAAATAATATAATTTAGAGGAGACCTATGAGAAATTAAATGTTGTATACACATATTTATATCAAACCTGTTCACTACATTCAAGCATGATCTGTCATTAAAATAACTAAAGCGTGATCTCTTCCATCTGTTATTTTAGTCTGAAAGGGGGAACAAAACAAGACACTGAAAAAAACCCATCTTAGAACACATTCCTAGTTACCAACCAGCTTTGCGATAAAAAATACTTAACAAAAATGGGATAATGGGTTTAAATGGGGGATTATGTTTTGTTGTTAACACTGTTGTCTTAAATGTCGAAAAGAGTGACTTTTAGAGGTCCAGCCACAAACATACACTACACTATTTTATGTGTCTGTCTTATATACGCAGGTGTAACCCTGGCATCCTGGCCAAATTTGCCCCTTGGCCTCTGTCCATCATGGCCTCCTAATCATCCCCATATATAATGTTTGGCTTCATCACTGTCTCCTCTCCACCAGTAAGCTGGTGTGTGGTGAGCGTTCTGGCGCAGTATGGCTGCCGTCGCATCCTCCAGGTGGATGCTGCACATTGGTGGTGGTTGAGGAGATTCCCCCTTCCATGTAAAGCGCTTTGAATACCCAGAAAAAGCGCTATATAAATGTAACAAATTATTATTATTATTATTATAACATGTTGCTGTTTGGTGGAGTTGTCACGTGGCATTTGTTTCATAAAGAATAAAAGCAATTTTATATAAATGGAGCAATTCTAGTAGGATCCTCACACCGTTGGTGCTCCTGTCATAATGACACGAACTGAATCTCTTTATACATTCATTGCTCAGTTCTGTAACATGGGATGGAATTTATACGGAACAAGCTTTTCATTGTGAATCATGTCCTCTTTGTAAAGACATGTGTTTGGTATGGTATGGTATTTTCCAAGTAATGTGACTTTTCTGAGCTGTTGGCACATGTATTATTGGCAACTAAAGTGTTCTGCAACATTTTTCTGCATCATAATTTCCACTATGTGAGCAATCTTAACGCGTATGGTTAATTTGCTCCAAATGTCTGCATTCATCTGCATTTAAGACCACATATGGCCAGCAAGTATCCATAGTGCAGTTTTCCCAAACTGTTGAATGTGTGTGTGTGTGTGTAATATATATATATATATATATATATATATATATATAAGACCAAGGGGGTGTATAATGTACTGCATATTCTTATCGGGGTTAAACTGACAAAAAGTATTTTTTGCTTAATCTTTTTTCATCCATTCCTATCAAAATAAAAAGATACACAGATTAACCTAAACATGAACTTTTTTTTTACTTAATTTTTGGCAATGGATGAAAAAAATAATAATAATCCACTCACTTTTTGTAAACTGCATTGGATTGCTAGAAAATCGCCCACAAAATGCAGATGATTTTAGTGTGGCGTGCTTAACTTTCAGCACACAAAACAAAACCTGTGACATTTTACCTTCGGCACTTTTTTTATGTCTAACTTACCACCCTGGTAAGAAAAAGACACATGTCAGTGTCTATATTTACATTAGGTGTAGTGTGTTTAATATAGTTTTACCCAGATAAAACAAGTTATACCATGGGATGTGTGGTGGACTGTTATGGAAGACAGTGAGCAAAAGTAAGACTTATTAGGATATTTATTACAGACAGATGTGTACATTAGATGCAGAGACACTATGATTACTCCATTCAGGCATCAAACACAGAGTGAAGCGCATCTGTCTCCACAGATTATGCTTAACAATGACATGATCCAAACAATTTCACCCAGAACCTCCACTGATCGCTGCAAGCACCAAGACCAACTACAGCTTTCCTAAAGAATGTGTTAAAACATAAATAAACCCAAGCTCTAGAAAAACAAGTAGGTGCTTGTTCAGTTAAATTATGGATGTACCACTTGTGAGAGCAAATCAGGAGATGCTCAATGATTTATAGGGAATGCTTTCCACTCTCTTGACAGTAGGTAGCTTCAAAATCTCCCATTGAAGAAAAGTGCCGAGATACATTCTTCATCACTAAATACAAGAGCTATTTAATTATCAAAATATATAATTTGTATGATTCGATTTTTGGATTTTTTGGAATGAACAGTAAGCAGTTTTTTGTCTCACACTATATGGGTCTCAACATTTAAAATTGGAGTTAAATATGTCATGATTGCCTTTGCAGTCTTTAACCATTTAAAGCATAAATTAAAACACTCTACACTGCCCATTTCAATCCATTTAACTATTCAAATGCATTGCTACTTCAAGCCATGACGTTTATCAGATATTTAAATGGCAATGCATTCACAAAGTGCAGTATGTGCCCTATTTTGTGGACCTTTTAGAAATGAATCAATGGTCTTCAAAATAATAATAATAATTTCCACATGTATTACAAGCAATAACAGCTTAAAATTACTGAGAGAAAAAAAGACACACATTCACACACTAAACTTAACCTTGACTTCTCCAGTAAGGAATAAATTGTCATCTTGTGTCTATGCTAAGATGATTAATTACTTTAAACTCTGAAGAAGCCTCAAAGTTTCTCTATTTGGTCTTGGCTGATGATTAAGACAGTCCACACAAAGCCAGATCTATTGCACTTTTCCAAAAACCTGGGAACACAAAACTCTTTAAATATGGAAAATATCCCATCAGAAATGTTCATTTTTACCTATTAGAATAATTTGTGGTTAAATACACTGTTCTTTCAAATCAAGATTTCAATAAAAGCATGACATATTTCTTGGATAGTTTTGGAATAATAATTACCTATTAGTGTTCATTAGCTACCCATGACCATCTCTGTGAAAACATTAATGCCCACTAACAACAAACTTTAAACACAGTTATTATGGTGATGAACTGCTTCTCTAATGATTATCCATTACACTTAGGAGCAGACAGATTCACACACACTATCTTTACAACCCAAATGGAAC